ATTTGTTATAGTAGGGCTAACTAATTGAAACGGGATTGACGAGTTTAGCAAATCTAGTCGGTTTATTCACAAGTTGTCAAAGTAACAAACTAAACCACTGAACCGTTATTGATAAAATTTCTATGGAAACAATCTAAAAATATATCTTTTTAGATAAAAAACTAACTTTTCAAATTGTTTTACAAATGACACAGTTCTGAAGTAACGAACATAAAAATAATGCAATCGAAATGTAAACCTCCTATTTTACAATCGGTTGAAAACTATGGAATCAAAAATTAAAAAACTTATAGATTTGGATGACTGAAGTTGATTTCAATATTTAAAAAAACGAGATATTTCAATGTTTCTTCTTTATTTCTCATAAAGAGTAAAGCTATAAAAATGGTAGTATAAGTTTAAAATAATATTCAACTAAATTTGATATTTAGTTAGTTATCAGAAGCAGATATGTAGATACTATTTACATTAAAGGTTGCAAACATTGCAGAGAATCCAGCTGTCTAGAAAATGGAATGGTAGCCCCGCCTGCGCTGGCGGTATATGTTCACGGGTCACCAGTGAGTGATGATAGGTGAGAATGAAAAGGTAGGTCAGTTAGCCCATTGTGATGAATACACTTGGAATTCAGCACGATAGTTTTCAGGGGGCACCACGTGGAGGTCGATTGATGAGGGTATATTGATAGCAATGGGGACTAACCTCCCCATTACTAATAATCCCTTCCCCCACCCCCGACTTATGTATTAGGATAGATAGATACTATTCATTGTTTCCTCCAAAAGATTACAATAGTAAACTTAGGTACTCGTTTATAGATTATAGAAACGTATATTGCTGTATATATGTACATACGTATATTAAACGTATAAATATTAACGTATATATATATATTAAACGTATAAACCCCCCTCTGGTTAAACGGTCGTTCGTAATGAGCAAATTACAAAAAACAACATGTAACTTCAGATTTAATTTCTTAAAATACTATGATAATAACGGGAGAAAGAAGAATTTTTAATAATTAATAAAAATATGAATTCTTTAAAATAGATTTTTCTTTTTTATACAATTTAACAATAGATATTTTTGGAAAAATCTAAAATAACATTTAACTGGATTAACCCACACGGGTAAATTTTTTTTTTTAATTTATTTTAGACAGACAGCTAGAATAATACATAATTATACACTTAAAAAGTAATTTGACAGCCGCGTTGGGGGTAAGGGATTGTTAGTAATGAAGACTGAGAATCCCATTGCTAGCAATATACCCAACCAGGTTGACCTCCACGTGGTTCCCCCTGGAAACTATCATGATTAATTCCTGATGAATTCATCATGATGGGCTAACTGGCCTGTTTTCAATCTAATCTATCACCCTTCACTGGTGCTCCGCCAGCGTATCCCGTTAGCACAGGCGGGGTTGCCATTCCATTTTCATCCACCATAAAAAAATTTGGCAGCCACTAAAGTTTGCACAAACGTAATACAAGTGAAGGAAACGCAAAATTAAAAAATACAACTTTTTATAACTGTTATACGAAATTGGTTCTACAAAATACTTTATTGTAGAAAAACCGTTCCATACTGCAGTGCCATAAAACGGAATCTTACATAATAAAGCGCAATATCGACCGTCCGTCCGTCCGTCTACCTACCTTACCGTACCTTATGACCTTTACAGCTTCGTAGCTAAGCTTGGCAAGCGACCAGTCTTTAACCTGCACGCAATCTACACTTGAGTATTTTACTACAAATAATGTAATCGTTTCATAATTTAATAATTATTGTAATTCGAATATAGGTATGTAAGTATGTAGTAACATTTTTTTTTAATGGATGATAATGGAATGGTAAGCCCGCCTGCGCTATCGGTATACACCGGCGGGGCACCAGTGAGGGATGATAGGTGAGGATGAAGCAGATCCGTTAGCCCATCGTGACGAATACAACAAGAATTGTTCACGATGGTTTCCAGGTGGAACCACGAGGAGGTCGACCTGACAGGGTATATTGCTAGCGATGAGGCTACTAATCCTCATTACTAACAATCCGTTCTCCCTCCTATGTAGTGACATTATAAAATATTTATTTCATACAAAATATATATATTATTACATTTATTTGTTATTATATATTAATGTGCACCAGAGGGAGACTTTGCACAAAAGTCCATTGCTTGGGTACCTCTGTCTCATTCGTGTTTCAACCGTGAAGCAGTTGTGTTTGCATGGCTGTGTTTCGGTTTGAAGGGTAGGATATGGCGTGAATTTACAGGGTACAGAGGAATAACACCTGAGTCCTCAGGAATGGCAACGCATGGGGGGTATCATGGGCGAAACAGTATACTCTGTTATGTCCATGGTACTGCACATGTCTATAGGCGACGGTTACCACTTGCCATCAGGTGGGCCGTCAGCTTGTTTGCCATTCTAAGTTGTTAAAAAAAAAGGTGTCCGCCTTATATATAAAATAATCTCAGTACTAGTTCTACCTACATCACAACTTTTGATTTTTTTTTGTAATTTATATTTTATTTAATTTTATACTTTCTTAAAAACACAACATGCCTTAAAGTTATCTAATATTCAAAGCTGATCAGTGCTCGATACGATTACAATTCGAGAAGGTGTAATAAAAATACATTATGGATTTGTTGATAAAAATGTAGGTCGAGAAAGTGGAGTAATAGAGGAAATTCAAGCAGGAAACTGAAGCGAATTATATAGAAGCGTGCCAAGGTTGTACTACACTAACGGGTCATGGTTGAAGCATAGTTCAGTTATATATAGTCATAGTTTATAATATAAGAGAAGCTGCTAAACCTTGATATATTGTTCACTAACATATTTATGATTCACATTCACATTAACATATTTATATTCCTGAGGACTCAGGTGTTATTCCTCTGTATCCTGTAAATTCACGCCATAACCCACCCTTCAAACCGAAACACAGCCATGCAAGCACAACTACAAATAACATACAGAGTATTGTCATCATCATACCAGCCTTTAACTGTCCACTGCTAAACATAAGCCTCCCTATAGGGGGTTTTGTCAGTAGTTGCCACGCTTGGCAGGCGGATTGGCAACCGCAGTTAGGCTTTGGAGATCTTTTAAGAGGGATACTGCTACCCATTCCTAGCCCTCCCTTATACCTCTCTTACGTCCTCCCTTCTACACCCACGGAGAAGGAAGGGATGGCCTATTCTATACCGGGGTCATATGGGAATATGGGATACATAGTACAGGAGGTACTAAACATTTTGTAGTTTTAAATTGTAATTTATTAAGTTTAGTCTTTAATATGTTTTGTACCCATGCTACTACATATTGTAAGAACATGTAAGAATGTAATATAAAAATGTTAAGAATATTAAGTAAATACTTAATTTTAAGTAACGCCAACAATTTAAATTTGACCTGAATAATCTTGCTTTATAAGACTCAATACTTACGTAAACTCTGTAAGTTTCAACCCTATAATCAGAACATGATCAGCAACTCGAATTTCTTATAGTTTTTCAATAAATCACTCATTAAAACTACAGCAGAATCATAAAGAATGTGACAATTTAAAAGAGCCTACTTAAATATAATTAGTAGATAACATTTCAATTATGGACCGTGTTGGGCACAGCGAGTACGAGAGAGGAGGACAACACTTTTTTCACTTTCGAAATAGTCTAAGGATCTGTTACAAATAATGTACTCGTAATTTGAATTTGAATCGAATTAGTCATAATTGGACAGGTTTATATTGCTTTGATTATTACAAATTTTATATGATCTCCTTACGGCTTCAACGTCAGTATCATCGAAGTTGTACAATATAAAATTTTAGCTCAATTATTATACTAACAAGTGCTCGTAATGTTACAAAATCTATTCCAAATTTTGAATCTGAAAGATATATTATAAAACTATATTTCAATAGGATGGGCAGCAGCGTCCCTCCTAAAACATCTCTTAAAACCTAACTGAGGTTGCCAACCCGCCTGCCAAACGTGGTAACTGCTGGAAAAACTCCACTTATTGGAAAGGCTTATGTTCAGCAATGGACAGTTAACGGCTAAAATAATAAAAAAAAGGTATAAAGATGTTTAAAGTAATACATTAAAAGTAATTGAAAAAAGTATCACTAAAAAAGAAAAATCTTCGTCAATAATAAATTCTCAATGTTTAGAATAAGGAAACCTTGTAAAACATAGCAAAATATAAAGAGTGTCTGAAAAGATCGAATTGCCGATTGGACGGAACGCTATTTTCCCTGGGAATATGAAGATAGAAAGCAGCCGACCCTTTGTACGCGTAATGGCTTGGCTTCGGGGAGTCTTTGCGACTCGACGCAAATTGGATTTAGCAAAAACATCTCGTTAGAATTATGCTATCTTTGTATTCGGTCGGGAGAAATAAATTAAATAGGTATAGCTAGATATATTGTATATAATTGTTGTGAATGCGAAAGTAATCCAGTATCTGTTTTTTACATATACGCCAATTTTTTACTAGTAAAACACATTGGTAGTATAAGAAAACCTACGTATGGAATATCTGTAGGATGGTATGTGGCTATAAATAATAAATTAAAATCATTAATATTTAGAGGGCAGCTGATATTTATTATTATGTTTATTAAAGCAAAGATTTCTTTCAGGGCCCAGTTTTGCGTGTTATTTTTTAATACCTTATTGATACCTTCATGTACTACATTATTATATTAGTTTGTCATGACAAGTGTTACGGGTAACGACCGTATTTATCATGTACCTACTAATATTATAGTATTTCCTTGTGCTTTGTTCAAAAGGACTCTGAATCGTCTTTGGAAGTCGAAGAACTTTCGATACCGTATCGCTCGGGACAGAGGAACCATGTCAACTAACAGAAACAAAGATCGACTCAAAATCCTTTTGAAACAATTCTCTCCCCTGCATTCCTTACACTATATATCAAGGAAATGATAATAAAATGATCATTTCTGTTTGTTGTCAGGTTCCGAAGTCCCATTCGAGCATCGCGCCGTGGGTCCTCGCGTAGCAAATGAACAGTAAGCGAGAGGCTAGCGCGATCCACAAGAAGAGGAAAAAATCATACAGTCTGGCGAACATGAGAACAGGATCTTATAAGAGATAATTGTTGCGGACGTCTGAAGTTAGAATAATAATTAAAGATGGCGGAAGGACCACAGACAATATGGCAGAAGATCGACCATACCGTCATTCCTGTCGTGAACCTCGAGGTCAGGGAGGTTCGCGAGGTACTATGGGAGAAGATACAGGAACCCACCTCTCAACGGAAGATAATCTTAGTAATAGTGTCTATAGCGTTGCTATTAGACAACATGTTGTACATGGTAATTGTGCCCATTATTCCAGATTATCTGAGATACATCGGTGCATGGGGTGAAGAAGCATACGACCATGTCGTTACCTTAGCACCTTATAAGGAGGGCAATAAAACAATAACACCTACAAAAATCATACCAGCGTCCCACGAGGGGCAAGAATCAGCAACAGGAGTATTATTTGCATCTAAAGCGATAGTACAACTCATGATAAATCCCTTTTCTGGTGCCTTAATTGACCGTATAGGGTATGATATACCCATGATGATTGGACTTATAATAATGTTTCTATCTACATCAATATTTGCTTGTGGTCGCAGCTACAGCATGTTGTTCTTCGCCAGGAGTTTACAAGGAGTGGGATCAGCTTTCGCTGATACTTCGGGGCTGGCAATGATTGCAGATAGATTTACAGAAGAAGCTGAGCGATCTAAAGCTTTAGGTATTGCTCTCGCTTTTATTAGTTTTGGCTGCCTTGTTGCACCACCTTTTGGAGGCGCCCTATACCAGTTCGCTGGCAAGGAGGTTCCTTTCTTAATTCTGGCATTGATATCTCTAATAGATGGCTTTATGCTATTGCTGGTAATGAAACCATTAAAAACTCAAATGAAAGAAGCCAGTCAACCCAAGCCGGCTGGCACGCCAATATGGAAACTTCTCATGGATCCTTACATTGCTGTCTGCGCCGGTGCACTCATGATGTCTAACGTAGCTTTAGCTTTTCTGGAACCAACTATCTCTCTGTGGATGGAAGACAATTTAACGAAAGATAATTGGAAAATTGGCATGATATGGCTTCCCGCATTCTTCCCTCATGTGCTCGGTGTAGTAATCACAGTAAAAATGGCGAGAAAATATCCCCAACAACAATGGTTAATGGCTGCTGGTGGCCTGGCTCTGGAAGGTCTATGCTGTTTTATTATACCTTTCGCGAGCTCATACAAGATGTTAATGATACCTATTTGTGGAATCTGTTTTGGTATTGCTCTTATAGATACAGCTCTATTGCCGACACTTGGTTATCTCGTCGACGTTCGTTATGTATCTGTGTATGGCAGTATTTATGCGATAGCTGACATATCATACTCCTTCGCATATGCAGTGGGACCTATAATTGCCGGCGAAGTGGTTGAAGCTATAGGATTTACAGCTCTAAATCTCTTTATAGCATTCAGTAACCTTCTATATGCACCAGTACTAATGTACCTAAGGCATATCTATGACTTCAAACCATTTGAAAATGAGGCCAATATATTGATGGGGGATCCACCAGAAAAAGAATATCAAACTTACAGTATGCAAGATCAAAGGCCAGTTAATGGAGAATATAAGAACCACCTGGAATATTCTAATGTTCAAGGGCAAGTTGGAGGGATTCAAGAGTCGAACGTCGACTCCAATACTGGGAACTACTCATATGATCAATCTTATCAAGGAGGCTATCAGAATTATAGTCAGGGCTATGACCAACAGCAACAACAAGGGTATCAGCAGGAATACCAACAGCCTCCAGAACAGGGATACAACCAGCCGCGGCAGCTGCCCGCTCAGCCGCAGCCAACAGCTAGCAATCCATTCCGAGCTGGTACAGCACCAGCGCCAGCCCCAGCCGCCGCGGCTCCTGCGCCGGGGCCTGTCAAGAACCCCTTCCGACAAGGCTTCTAGAACTTCTAATTCAGTGTTGTTGTCTATATTTTTTGAATTTACTTGTTGTGTAATTATAAATGTCATATTTGGGTATTACTTCGATCACTGAGCCGCATCACATCGGCGGCGAGAGTTATTTAGTGTCTGACTAGATGTCTATTTACTAGCTGTGCTTTGTAACTTACTAATGTAGTATATCGTAGACTGCATCCAGAATGGCTGCTGGGGGACAGTAAGAGGAACTCGGATATTATGTATTTAAAGCATAATATTACATTTGGACTTCTCGATAAGGTCAAGGCCTATCGTATAAAACTACTTGCTTTATAAGCTTATACTTATTACAATACTTGTAGTGGTTTAAAAAATCTGATACATTAATTGCAAATATTGCTGCAAACATAAGCGCTCCTAAGTAAAGTTAAAGTGCTAAATTGCAAATTAGAAAGATTCTATGGACAAATATCTTCGGTAACACTTAATACCAATTTTGAAGCTACACTTAGTATACTCTATGTCTATGCTCAAAATCGACATAATGTTCAAATAGAGTTGTAATATAAGCTTATAACTACAGTAGTTTTATGCCTCAGGTCTCATTGATTAGTTTCTTAGAAGAATATATGAACTAAAGTGCGTACAAAGTGTGATATGAGACGTTGCCATTCTGTACGCGGTTTTCCTTGTTGATCTTATATTGTTCGGATATAATAAACTGTTGATTATGCCTTCTATAATGTATAGATTAAGTTGATCAAACCAAGGAGAAATGTCGATGCGTGACCAAACATTATATTTACGTATTTTGTTTAGACATTCGTGTAAGGCCAGCAGGGATGTGTGCAGCTTACGTGGTTTAAATACTTATAGTAATTAAGAAATGCGGAGACAATTTTTGAGAATGACACCTAATGAAAGTTAAATCAACGTACGGTTCAGAAAAGAAGGTTAAGAAAGTATATAAATATACATTGTTTGATATACACAAATAATGTTTTTAACCTCTATATAAAATAATATACGATAATAAGGATGCCAGGATTCATTTCGATGGTATGGTCTGAATCAGAGCTATATCAATTAATCTTGATACATATCGAGAAGACGCACAAATTTGGCAACAGCAAGGATCCCATGGCTATACATTAATATCTAAAACAAATATTAATAAAAATAGTTCGTAAGGTAGACACTTGTAAAGCAAAATAAGACCTACGGTACACGGCACATGGTAGGTTTTAGAGTAAGCGCTAAAAAGCAAAGCACTATTTAATGTAAGGGCCTAAGAAATAATATTTATTAATCATTCTTTTGGCACTTATCATGTTCATATTTTTTTTTTTTTATTAGATATATGTAAAGTGACTATGTCTAAAGACATATCCATATATTTAATGGATAACTTATAAACATGGCTAATATTTCACGGCACATTTCAGTGCAATGAAGATGTGGTAGTTTTATTTTAACATTTTTTCTTAAATTTCATATATTGTATGAAATAATATGATTGAATTTAAAATTGCATATGTATTACATTGAGATGCAATTGAAAATAAAATAATTTTACAAAATAATAAGATTATAGTACGAATAGGTACATAATCACTTCTTTTTTTTGTATAATAAATAAATGAAGACATTAACAAAACAATCTTTTAAATTATAATGACGTAAAAAGATGGGATAACAAAAGAAGTGCTAATTAAAAGTTATACCCATTCTCATAGTTTTTATTTTAGGATTATGACGTGGTTTATATCAAATCATAGAGACAGCTTTGTCTTGATCTATTACTGGTGCGTTGGAAGCATTTTCTTTCTGTAATAAAATTATTTTATTTTAATTTTAATACAGTTTAAAAAAGATATGGATTTTTATCCATGTATTAATTGTAGATAATCAAGAAAACATAACATTTTAATTAAAAATACTAATTACTTATCACAATTTGAAACTATATTTTTAGATATATCATTAAATAACGTATGAATATCATTAACAGTACATTGTAAGATTTTAAAATTAACGATTCCCTTTCTACGCTATATCAGCAATATTACTGTAAGTTCATCACACTATTATATCAATTTGACGTTATATCAATTATAATAATCAATTAATATCAATTAGTATAGGAACAATCAACTTGTGATAAAGTTGCAACCAAGGTAACGAAACATATCAGAATCTTTTGATTCACTTAGGCTAAGTAGATTATTATTATAATTATTGTGGAATGTATAATTCTCTAAGTGTACAGTGGTAAGTAGACTGTTTATTGTCGGTATGGACTGTACATTTACGTACTTAGGTTAGTAGTATATGTTATTAATTAGCGTTTACGTGCCACCAAATACAACACGATTAACTCATTCGGATGGATGATGTTTATTTTTTTTATATAACTTTTCATTAATATGTTTATATATTTGCCGGTATAGTACACATTTTATATATTAATTTAAATAAATCAGATTTTTAAAATACATTAATGAATAATTTCGTTAATTAATCAGTAATTAGTATAAATATAATTAAATATTCAATAATGATTAATGTATGTAATAAATTAAATACACATTGTATTTAATTTCTCAAAAATATTATATTAATACATTTTAATGATACGCTTATATAGTTTTAATTTAATTAACTTGTTTATAATTATTTTCGTTTATTCCTATAACAACGATATAAATTTAACAAAGAAGTAAAACAAATTAACAAGGTTTATCTGATAAAAATACCCAATATCATCCATCCGAATGATGATGAAACTGTTTGTTTTGCAGAAATAAAAAAGAGACAAAATTAAAAAGATATCTAAAGTAATTGTACAAGAAAATGTGACGAGCCCGATATGTCAATTGAAAGAGTGTATAAATAAAAGTGATTATTGTGAATATTATTCGTTAAACAGTTGTATCGAGATTGCTAAGGTAACAGTTATTGATTTGTTGCTTACACGTCATGCTTGGAATATTTCGTGAATATATAGTAAAGAATGATTCTTGGCATTTAAATTTCAAAATAAATTTAGTATCCAGCCTGCAAAGTACAATAGTATTGGTAGTCAAACCTCCATTGCACAAAATTAATTTGGCACAAAACATTTTACGTATCTAACTTAAGTATTAATGTTTTATGTATGTATTTAGAGAGTTACATATCAAAGCCACATGGTGTCATACCTTAGTGGGCACGGTCAATATCTTTATTAAATCGATAAAACCAAGTGATCTCTCTTCTATTATATGTAAATTGTAAATTAGTCAATTTTCGTGTCAAATTCTCCCGAAATTCAATTAATTAGTAGAGTCAGAACAAAGAGTTATAATATTTAAAATAAGATATAATTGTATCGTGTATTTGGATGTAATATTATATATTTTTGTTTTTCACTATAATTACTATAATATTAATAAAAATATGATTTATTTTCATGAGTTTAATTACGATATTGATATATTTTAAACGGAAACTTCAATTGTAGAAATTATTGTGTCTGTAAATTATAAACAACAAAAAAAAAATCTTTTAAAATGATCCTTCAAGATAAACTGTTTATTTAATTAGAAAAATTAGATATTTAATTTCTGATAATTAAATTAATTAATTAATTTAAAATAAATTAATTAATGTAATTGAAATAAAACGAGTCAAAATACACGATACAATTAATAGCAATATGTTATGTTGTGAATTATTGTGAAACGTAATCAATTCGATGTGTGTGCAATTATATATTTTAAATATTTAAATTAATATTATATTATGAGCAATAAGATGAACCGATATCACATACATATCATTAGGTGTAAGGATATATATACAATTTTTAGATGGTTTTGTATTTAAACGTCTTTATTGACATTATATATTCTTGATAATATAAAACATATATAAAATTATCTCTGTGCTGCACAATTTGTAATAGACTGTAACGATTTCTTTATATAATCACACTTAAACTATTCTTATTTAAATTTAAATATTAATTCATTTATTGTATTGTTAGCAAACAACGGTTTTAAAATCTTTAACTTTTAATTTGTTAAAACTATATATTTTTAGATATTTTTCATAAAAAATATCTATGATTATAACATTGCTTGATTCCTAAAAGGTATTTTAAATAGATTGTGAAAAATGAGATATTTCATTGGAGTGATCAAACATTTTGAAGCCAAAAACTCTACCGTAATTATTATTCTACATTATATTAAATTTATTAAAAAAAAAAAATCAAATAATGACATTTAACATCCTAACATATTTCTTTGGAAATAACAACTTCAAGTGTATTTTTATTTTTATAATTATAGTCTATATGAAATATAATTTTAATTTATTACATGTATTAACTATAAATATTATGTACAATATTATTATTTTAATGTTTTAGTTAATTTTAAATTTACTTAAAGAACTCTATATATAAATGAGAGGATTATCGGATGCGTATTTGTTTGAAAGTCTGTATCTTAGTGATTGCTGTGTGAATGCCTTTGATTAATCATTCGTGAACTATTTGTGTTACCTGTAGAAATGAAAGGAAAGTTACACTACGCGTTTCTTATTTCTATAGTGTAATTTATATAATTAACTTTTCTTAAAGTAATATTTAATGCAAACACACATTGAATTTTTAATTATATTTACATTTATTAATTAGTATACATATTTATTACATATCATTTATTAATATAATTTTTAGATCATTCAAGATGAAATTTTAAATATTAATATTCTATTAAGGGATTTTTCCATAAGGGAAACTGAACATTTTTGACATAGAAATATGTATCGAAATAAAATAATTTTGAAGCTTCTTTATACATACATTTGACAAATCAACACACCGTTTTAGTTTGAAAAGTGTAATATATACAGAAATAGAGTTCCAGAGGTCTAGAATGAGACGCTTCTACAGGATTAAATAAAAAATTCACTTTTCAAGTAGCAGTGATTATAATTGTAAAATATGTATTATATTTCACTCGATCGAAAGTGTGTTTGCAATAAACTTTCTTTACTTAGATCGATACCCGTCCGTTAGTACTATTTCATTAAATTATAACTAGTAATGAATAGTTTATACTCGTATCATTAATAAATTCATTATTTTCATTAATAATTCTATTTACATTTATTTATTTTACATTTAGATCTTTCATTTTTAAAATGTAATACATATTAAGACATATGTATTTTAATGATAAAGAATTTTAATTTATTATTATATATTTTATTCTATGCTGCATAGGCATTGTTCATTTTAATTATTACCTTATTTTATTAATCTGATTGCATTTTTTCCATATTAATAAATTAATAAGGAAATTACTATATTCAATTTATATTATTTTATTTTATAATATTATATTGTAGTAATTACTCTAAATAACGTGTATTGCTAATATAAACTTAAATTATTCTATCGTAGAATTTATTTTATGGGATTGGATGGAGATTAGTTGTGGATACGAATACGTGGCTTTTATGATTATGTACTTTGTGAATCTAATTTTAAAATCGTGTCTCTGCATGGTAGAAAATCTTATTATGTACGCTTTTCTCTTGAAATTCACCACCTCTATCTTTACTACACTTATTGTATCTTTAATCTTCGAATCCAATATAAATTAGACGGTCCATTTTCCCTTCCTATTACGGATATTTCAATGTTATTATAAACAGTGTGATTATAATGTATAATATTATTATAATCAGTAGTAAGTAAACTATGTAATGTACATATAGATCGGATGCCCACACAAATATGAGTGATAGATACGGAGATAATAGTGTACCTACTTCTCTTAGCTCGTCTACCGCTTCTTCTAGTAATTGAGTAGAGATTTATTTTTATCGAATACCTGTTACCTATTCTAGGTTAAGTATATAAATATATTAAGAATATATATTTTACGTTTATATATACATATTTATATATATAAATAAATTTTAGCATTTAGTTTGCTATTAGTTATTTTTACTCTATATTATACTTTAGATAATTCTAAGGAAAGTTTTTGTACAGTTGTACAATGGCAAAAAAATTTGCCCATCTGTCGTAAAACTGGTAACCATTGCCTAGACTCGAGAACACCATGGACACCACAGTATATATCTACGTTTATTTATTCCATTTAACCATAAAATTATTGTTTATGTTTTTCTATAGAGCCGCTATTGTCGCTTGTAGTGTAGATGAATATTTTTTATAAATTAAACTGTTTTAAGTAGAATAGTTAGTTGTAAATCTGTCTAGACATCTCTAGTTGCGTCGTTCGTTGTATATTTTTTTCATAAATAATACCTCATTCGATTATAAATCGTTTCTTTATAAGCATAACATTATTACATAGGTTAATGGACATATAGAATTAATTCAGCTTGAAATGTTGTAATACTCTCTTTGATAGTTAAAATTTAAATGTTGTATAAATATATAGGGCATTGGCATCACCATGATCTGTTAAAACTATTTCCTGCAATAATTAACTTGTTGTTAAAAATCATCAATGCTACTTAACATCACTGCATGATGACACATGATTTTATCAAGTCTTGGGAAGATTGCATTAAATTTAATAAATCATTAATATAAACAATATTAGTACGTAAATCAGTATACATAATCATGGTTAACGTAGGAAGCTATATCCTGTAGAATCAGTGAATCATGTATTATTATAATTCCATTTGAAAAAAAAAATAGGAATTTTTAATTATATATATTGCATGAAAACTTGAAGAAATCTATATGATTTTCAATCGAGTCTCAGTTTAAAATGTAATATAATTATGTATTAATCACGTAGAACGTAATATGCTGTTAATTGGTCGCATTCCGTTTGAACTATCTTTTGTTAGATATTATATCGTGTATGTTATAGCTTTTTAATAGCTACGTAAAGAACTGGTTGGCTGTTTAGTTAATTGGAGAGTTGGAAAATGGTTTGGATATAAACACTTATCAAGAAAAAAAAAATCAAACATACTTTTAATTCTTGAAGTATAAATTGTTTTATACAGTTTTTTGCACTTGCAGTATGCAAAATATATGAAGATACGGCCCAAACTAATTTTCCAGTGTCTCAATGTAATTAGTTGGTAAGTGGTAACGAAATTATCAGAGTATCATGTAACCTATCTATCTAGTTGTATTTAAAGTGGTCAAAATTAATCAGTGATCGAATAAAATTGTTACACCAAAAATAATATTTGTTTCTATTCTTCTCCATCAGCGTATTCCGACGAGTGTTTTGAATTCCAAAATCGATGACGATGAAAATGAAACTTTTTGAATATTTCAAAAGCAAAAATCTTATTATGCTCTCATTACATGTAAAGATATGAAAATAATATTCAATATTAAAGAATTAGATATCTTTTTTCCTTTATCTACGTTTTATTACATCCACAGATTAATTTACAATCAATAAATATCTTGATTATTTCTAAGCAATAGCTTATAAATTCCTGAAGTTAGGTGCAACCTTATTATCCAATACAATTAAATAACGTTCACATATAAATAGAAAATAAAGGATTTAAAAAGTAATAACTTTATAAAAAAAAGTATTTGAAAAGGTTGTATGTTCTAAAAATAAACGAAGTCACAAAAGTTTTTTTTTTCTTTTTTTCTCTTCATATGATGTAATCATATAAAGAGAAAAAAAAGGAAGTTAAAAACACAAGCAGACATAAACAATAGACAATGATGTAAGAGTTTTTTTATATTGATGCATGTAGTATATTACGTTCACGTACTGGCCACTAATAAAACTGTAAGCACTGGCCGGTAACAATTTGTTCTATTTATTCTTTCGATGAATAAATCAGTGATCGAATAACTTGTTTGTGTATTATGGTGACAGTCTTCGAAAAAGAAAACAAAAATATAAAGAAAACATAGTAATGTTAGTTATTTCTTGATGATGAAGATCCGTTAAGTCCACCTTGGAGGGTTTTGCTAGTAGGTGCTATGCTTGGCAAGCGACTTTGGCACACAGTTAGACTTTGTTTTGTGTTTTAAGAAGGACGCCGTTACCTATTTCTCTGCTATTAAATTCGCTTAGTTAAGTCTAATGACACCCATGGGAAAGGAAGGGGTTCAGTTATTCCTTAATCGTTATTAAATAAAATATTGCTAAAGAGGTTTGTTGGTATAGGTAAATTCTGCAAACGGTACAGTAGAACAGGATTCTTATTTATTGATCTTATATTTTATATATATATATATATATATATATATATATATATATATATATATATATTATATTATACATATAGCTTAGTGTGTTTTTTTATATTAGTAACAGTCTAAGAAAGCGAAAAAAAGTAGGTGACATAAAAAAATTACCCAAGAACATTTTATATTTATTTTTTTATTAAACAAGTGATGTTTAATAAAAAATAATTACACGAGAGGGAGACTTTGTACAAAAGTCGATTGCTTGGGTACCTCTGTCCCATTCGTGTTTCAACTGTGAAGCAGTTGTGTTTGCATAACTGTGTTTCGGTTTGAAGGGTGGGATATGGCGTGAATTTACTGGATACAGAGGAATAACACCTGAGTCCTCAGGAATGGCAACGCATGGGGGGTATCATGGGCGAAATAGTATACTCTGTAATGTCCATGGTACTGCTCATGTCTATAGGCGACGGTTACCACTTTCCATCAGGTGGGCCTTTAGCTTGTTTGCCATTCGAAATATATACACTGCAAAAAACAAATTAATTAAAATATAAGGAATGAAAATTACTTGAAAATTTTGCACTTTCCCACTACCATATTTAAAATACATTTCAATAATATATTTATATTTGGTATTTGATAATTATTGTATTAAAATGTATGTATGTTTATTTTACTAAAATGTATATAACATGATGAGAGACATGGTAAAAAAGGCCTTAAATTTTTCAAGATTTTTTTTCTAATCACGCCGCGAATTCTATTAACTTCGCTCTGCTGTACGTATAAAAATTGAAAAGACATCGAATGCCCCATCGCTAGATTGCATTAAGCACCTCTGTTTGCACGAGCTAAGCCCGCCACTCGAATAGATCCTTGAACACGATACTGGCTGAAAGGATTCACCTTTCAGCTTGGAGTGTCATCGAAGACTGTTTGTGATGCTCCCGTGTTCAATACAATTTAACTATAAGTATTTTTTTTATACAACTTAGAATGACAAACAAGCTGACGGCCCACCTGATGGAAAGTGGTAACCGTCGCCTATAGACATGAGCAGTATCATGGACATAACAGAGTATACTGTTTCGCCCATGATACCTACCATGCGTTGCCATTCCTGAGGACTCAGGTGTTATTTCTCTGTACCATTCAAACTGAAAGTAT